CCTCGCCGTCTCACAAACGAAACCTTGCACGCTGTCAAAATACATCCTCATCCTCCTCCTCTCGCTCCCTCTCTCTCCCTCTCTCTCCCTCCCCCCTGCCCCCACCCTCCCTCCCCCCTGCCCCCACCCTCCCTCCCCTGTCCCATTCATGCCGTGCGCGTGGGCGTCAGCATGACTCGCGTGGCGCGGAACGCGCGCGCTGTGTCCGTGTGTGTGTCAGTGTGTGTGTGTCGGTGTGTGTGTGTCGGTGTGTGTGTGTCAGTGTGTGTGTCAGTGTGTGTGTGTCCGTGTGTGTGTGTCCGTGTGTGTGTGTCAGTGTGTGTGTGTCCGTGTGTGTGTGTCAGTGTGTGTGTGTCCGTGTGTGTGTCAGTGTGTGTGTGTCCGTGTGTGTGTCAGTGTGTGTGTGTCAGTGTGTGTGTGTCAGTGTGTGTGTGTCGGTGTGTGTGTGTCGGTGTGTGTGTGTCAGTGTGTGTGTCAGTGTGTGTGTGTCCGTGTGTCGGTGTGTGTGTGTCAGTGTGTCGGTGTGTATGTGTCAGTGTGTGTGTATCAGTGTGTGTGTGTCAGTGTGTGTGTGTTCGTGTGTGTGTGTCAGTGTGTGTGTGTCAGTGTGTGTGTGTGTCAGTGTGTGTGTGTCGGTGTGTGTCTCAGTGTGTGTGTGTCCGTGTGTGTGTGTCGGTGTGTGTGTCAGTGTGTGTGTGTGTCAGTGTGTGTGTGTCGGCGTGTGTGTGTCCGTGTGTGTGTGTCAGTGTGTGTGTCAGTGTGTGTGTCGGTGGGTCAGTGTGTGTGTGTCATTGTGTGTGTCAGTGTGTGTGTGTCAGTGTGTGTGTGTCAGTGTGTGTGTCAGTGTGTGTGTGTCGGTGTGTGTGTGTGTGTCCGTGTATGTGTGTCGGTGTGTGTGTGTCAGTGTGTGTGTCCGTGTGTCGGTGTGTGTGTGTCAGTGTGTCGGTGTGTATGTGTCAGTGTGTGTGTATCAGTGTGTGTGTGTCAGTGTGTGTGTGTTCGTGTGTGTGTGTCAGTGTGTGTGTGTCAGTGTGTGTGTGTGTCAGTGTGTGTGTGTCGGTGTGTGTGTCAGTGTGTGTGTGTCCGTGTGTGTGTGTCGGTGTGTGTGTCAGTGTGTGTGTGTGTCAGTGTGTGTGTGTCGGCGTGTGTGTGTCCGTGTGTGTGTGTCAGTGTGTGTGTCAGTGTGTGTGTCGGTGGGTCAGTGTGTGTGTGTCATTGTGTGTGTCAGTGTGTGTGTGTCAGTGTGTGTGTCAGTGTGTGTGTGTCAGTGTGTGTGTGTCGGTGAATGGGTCAGTGTGTGTGTGTCGGTGTGTGTGTCAGTGTGTGTGTCAGTGTGTGTGTCAGTGTGTGTGTCGGTGGGTCAGTGTGTTGGTGTCATTGTGTGTGTCAGTGTGTGTGTGTCAGTGTGTGTGTGTCATTGTGTGTGTCTGTGTGTGTGTCAGTGTGTGTGTGTCAGTGTATGTGTGTCAGTGTGTGTGTCGGTGTTTGGGTCAGTGTGTGTGTGTCGGTGTGTGTGTCAGTGTGTGTGTTGGTGGGTCAGTGTGTGTGTGTCGGTGTGTGTGTGTCAGTGTGTGTGTGGCGGTGGGTCAGTTTGTGTGTGTCAGTGTGTGTGTGTCAGTGTGTGCGTCAATGGGGAGCGGTAGTGTAGCGGTTAGCGTGCTGTGCTTTGAACCCGGCGACCCGAGTTCGATTCCCGCTCTCGGCTAACACGACCAGTGATGATTATCGGAACCGATCCTGGGTCTCCCCTAGGTCGACTCAGCCTCAAATGAGTCCCTAGTGCGATGTGTAAACATCGCCACTGGGGAGACAAAGGGGGTCGGGCGTGATGTTGGCCACCCACCCCACAGTCTGTTAAAGGCTATTCGGGGGATCTTTGTATTTGTTTGTGTCTATGCCACTTTTCGCAAGCATAGAGAAGGGAGATCTTAACCGTGGCCAAGAAGACCCGAGCGAGCTTCCCACACAGCGTTACGCAGCCGCGTGAAAAGATAACGCCGCTCTGCTGATTCGGAGTGAGACCTCAACTGCTACAACGGGTGCGGCACGGTCTCGAGAAGAGATGGAACGGATGTGGTACGGGAGGATGTGGAGCCGTCCTCCATGGAAGAGGCTCGTGAAGGACGCTTCTGGGCAGTTGGAGGTAGTTTTTCCCTCCAACAATAGCGGAGAAGCAGAGGAGCGACGCTCACAACAACGAGCGGAGCGCCGGGCGCCTAAAACACACGTAATTTATACAATGGGGAGCACAAGTGGTGCATCTGTCAGTCATCTCAGTCGGTCAACCCAGGGCCCCTGGGTCAATGACACACACACACACCGCGACCTTCTGCAAGCGGGCCTTCAACACTTCACGTGGCCTCAAAGTCCACCTAGCCTGGCACAAGCGCCGTGGTTTGCGCACAGTGGTTAGCGCACTGCACTACGAACCCGGCGACCCAGGTTCGATTCTTACGACCGATAACCGTGGCGAATATTTGAACCGGTCCTGGGTCTCCCCTCGGTGCTGCGATGTGTAAACATCGCCACTCGGGAGACAAAGGCGGCCGGGCATGGTACTGGTCATTTTGGCCTTTCATAAGTGCTTGCTTATAGCGCTTGCCCCAACGTATGTTGAACTTCTTTCGTACTTTGCTAACAGTTTGTAAAAGCTAAAGGGGGAATCTTTGTTAGCGCTACGAATTTATCAAACACCAGCGACGATAATTTGAACCAATCGCGGGCCTCTCCTAAGTTAACTCAGCCTTCAAATGAGTGTCTCATGCGTAAACTTCGCCACTAGGGAGACAAAGACGGCCAGGCGTGGTACTGGCCACCATCGTGTGACGTGCCGGCTTTCAGGGGATGCTCGCTCACAGCACTTGCCCCAACAGCAGGGGGACCTTTGTCTTTGTCTGACTCTCACGCAAACTCTCACGCGCGTCCCGTGTGCGAGTTATTGGACGCTGACTTTCGCGCAACTTACTTCCACATCCCACACTCCCACACAAGGGACAAAGATCACCCATATAGCCTTAACAGACTTTTGGGGCAAGTGCTTTTAGCGAGCAACTATTGAAGCCTGAACGGCATATGAGGGCGGTGCGTGGCCAGCACCACGCCCGGCCGCCTTTGTCTCCCTCGTGGCGATGTTCACACATCCCACCAGGTACGCATTCAGGCTGATTTCGACTTAGGACCGGATCAGGCAAACGCCGCTCTTGTTGGTGGTGAGCGGGAATCGAACTCGGGTCGTCTGATTCGTAGCGCATCGTGTTAACCACTGCGCTGCCGCTCCCCATTCATTCACACGCACGTTCCTCACTGACTCCCCACTCACGGCCAACATCAGTAGCAAACATCTGAATCTGTTTCGGGGTGTCCCCAAAAGGTCCACTCACACTTCAATGAGTAACCCGGTGCTCTATGTAAATACCAAACTTACCTGAACTAATCTTGATGTGAAGCTTTAGTGACTGCAGGAATCCATACTCTTTGGTTCTTTCGGTAAAGTCACGTAGGTATAATATAAAATGAATCACGACGTTTCGGGCGCAACACAAGCGTCCATCATCAGGTGGGAAAGCATGGTCTGCTGCTGAGGCAGACTGTTTTTAAAGGTTTGAAATGGGTGTAGCCCAAGGGTCATAAAGAAGTGGCCGGGGCTAGTGATGTAATGTGAGGGATTAGCATGTAACATCGCCACTTCCGTGCCCTCGTCGAGGAGGCCGCTCTCCTCCTATCTTACAGTTACATGCTGATTTCTCACATTAACATCACCAGCCCCGGACACTTCTTTATGACCCTTGGGCTACACCCATTTTAAACCTTTTAAAATAGTCTGCGCAGGAGCAGAACATGCTTTGCCACCTGATGATGGACGCTTATGTGTGCGCCCGAAACGTCGTGATTTATTTTATTTTCTACTTACCTAAACTAGTTTTTATTTGACCAGGAAAGGCCCGCTGAGCGATGTAGCTCGTTTTGAGAAGCATCCTGGCAACAAATGAGAGCCCCAACGAAGTGGCGTATTGTCGCGTGGAAATGCATAGTAGCCAAATACTCAAAACGCACCTTTCTAAATGTGGAGGGGGAAAAACCAGAGGATCCGGAGAAAAAAATCCACGCAACCACAGGGAGAGAGACATGCACATTCGAAATTTACAGGCGTCAGGGTCGGGTTTGAACTCACGATCTCCTGTATATCAGGAAAGGGAGTTAACATCTCAGCAGGAATTCATAGCTACTCCTGACCAGCACTTGCCCCGACAGTCGATGCGAGCCTATACGGGGATCTTTGCTTGTTTTTTGAGGATGGAGCGGCGGGGCGAACGGTGGAGGGGTTTGAACGGTGGCGCAGTGGTTAGCGCACTGTTGGCTACGTACGGTGCGAAAGAAGTTCAACATGCATGGGGTACCGCGGTGGCGAGACGTTAACTAGCTCGCCTGGTATATAGGTGGTTGTGGGTGCGATTCCGATCCCGACCCTGACGCCTGCTGCTGTATATTTGGAGTTCACGCGTCTCTCTCTCTCATCATCACGGTGGCTAGGGAGACGTTGACTACCTCGCCTGGTATACAGGAGGTCGTGGGTTCGATCCCGACGCTGACGCCTGCTGCTGTATATTTGGAGTTTGCGTGTCTCTCGCTCTCATCATCATCATCATGGTGGCTATGAAATGTTAACTACCTCGCCTGGTATATAGGTGGATAGGTGGTCGTGGGTTCGATTCCGATTCCGACCCTTACGCCTGCTGTATATTTGCAGTGTGCGTGTTCTCCCCGTGATCGCGTGGATTTTTCTCCGGGTCTTCTCGTTTTCCCTCCACATTTAGAAACACGCGTTTAGAGTATTCGGCTGCTATAAATGTCCACGTGGTAAGCCACTTCGTGGAGCTATGAAATGCGGCCAGTTCGCTTCTGAAAAAGAGCTGTCCAGCTCAGTGGGCCTTGCCTGATCAAATAGTTGAAGTTTTTTCGTGTTAACCTACATCCATCCGACTTCAATTCCCTGCCGCGGT